CCCCCCCCCCCACCCCACACACACACACACCGGCAACCCCACCCCCAAGAGAACAGACACCACCACAAAACATAGTCTCCTCCCCCTCCCCATACATTAAATCCCAAAAAAAAATTCCATCCTCCAATCAACTGCATTCCTTGTCCTCTCCCCACCCTCCCAACCCCAACACCAGACCTCCTTCCCTCTGTACTCCCGGTACCTCAGCCTGCTCCCGGTCATGTTGCTCCATGAACTGATCAATGTGATCCTGTAAATCCCGGGGGTCAGTGATACTTGAGTAATAATCCTCTGCCCATTCTGCAGGAAGCACACAGAGTCAGCACCACAGTCCCACCGGCTGCCCCAGGGCCCAGACACGCTGCGGGAGGGAGGGCTCACACCCTCATTCCGGATCTACCCTCCCCACCTCCTACATTACCTCACCAACTGCAGTCCCCTTTCTATACCCCACAAGCTCCCTCCTCCCCCACCACTCTCACCTTCCTCCCTCCCCACCCTCACCCTCCTTCCCTTCCGCCCCCACACTCACTCCCCAGCCCTCCTCCTCCCCTACTCTCACCCCCTTCTCCACCTCCCCCTTCTCACCCATTCCCACCCTCCTCTCCACCCTCCAATCACAGGCTCCCTCCCCCCCCCCAACTCTCATCATCACAGACCTCTTCCCCAATTGTTGCATCCCCTGTACTCCCGCACCATGCTGCTTCTCCCTCTCTCACCGTTTCCTCCATCCCCCCCAACCTCCAACACTGTCCAGCTCCTCTTGGCCCCAGCACAGCCCTCCCCCACCCCCTCTCCCTCCAGGCTGGGCTGGTCTGGTCACTCACTCTGAAGGCCTGTCCTGAGCGGGTGCTGAGCTGTGGTCAGGACCCAGGGCTTCTGGGCTTTTAGGGACACGGCATGTTTCACTGCAGCTGAACTTTTAAACACCACGTAGGCCACCTGGAAACCCTGCAATTGAGGAGAGGGGGTCAGTACAGCAGCTTCTGAGATCACCAGGCCCTGGATCCCAAGCTTTCAGTTACCCCATTGCGACCTGGGACTGCTTCATATAGGTTACAGGTCATTCAGCCCATCAAGTCTATCTTGCCATTCTAGATCATGGTTGATCATCTCCTCAGTGCCACTTTCCTGCACTACATCCATGTCTCTCAATGTCACTAGTTGCCAGAAACCTATAGATTTTTGTCTTGAACCTACAGGCAGTCCCCTGGGTTGTGAACGGGTTCTGTGCTGGAGTCAATTCGTATACAAATCAGAACATAATGCGGGACAATGGAAAGGAGCTGTTCATAAGCACAGGAAATGTTCACATGTCAGATCTTTAAAATTATACCCGTGTGAGATTACATTCCTAAGTACAAGCATTCACAAACCAAGACTTCCATACTCCATGATTGAGCTTCCATTGCCCTCAGAGATTGAGAACTCCAAAGGTTCACCACACTCCGAGTGAAGAAATTCTTCCTCATCTCAGTCTCACACAGCCTGATCCTTATCCTGAAGGTATGTTCCTGGTGCTAGATTCAGCAACCGGGGAAATATCCTATTCACATCCACCCTATCACAGCCTGTAAGAGTTTTGAATATTTCATTACGGTCACCTCTTATTCTTCAAAATTCTTGAGAACATGGACTAGTTTCCTTGATCTCTCCTCATAATACAGGCTGCCACTCCAAGGATTAATCTAGTGAAGCTCCATTGCACTCTCTCAAAAGTATATGCTTTTTCAGAAAAAGAGACCAAAGCTGTACACTAGATGAAGGCTCACCAAGGCTACAACTGTTGCAAAATATTTTCTGTACTCAGACTGCCCCAAAATGAAGCCCAGCATATGGTTTATCTTACTAATTGCTTGCACCTGCTTGCTAGTCTTCAGGCATTCACAGACATGGACCACCCAGATCCTTCTGAACACTACATTTCCCAACCACTCACTAAGAAATATTCCGTCTTTTTGCATTTTCTAGTAAAACGAACGACTTATTCACATTATAATCCACCTGCCATGCTTTAGCCTATGCCCCAGTTTCACCTTAGTTAATCCTACAGTGAGGCTCACTCTAGAGTCACCCGCCCTGCCGTGATACACCCTCTGGAGGTCAATAGGGGATGAGATGTGACAGCGAAGCCTGCATTTGGAGGAGTAAATCAGAAGGTACCTGTGCAAGTGGGCGTGAGAAGAACTTTGATTTCTGGTCCTTGGATTTGGTGCTTGGGCCTGGCTTTTCCTGTAGTTCCACCGAGGTGACAGGACCACACTGTGAAAACAACCTGTGCACGCACTCCTGATGGTAACACACAGGGACGTCACATAACATTATATGAGCACTGCTCAAACAAAGTAAAAACAGTGAAAGACTAACCCACTGCAGGCACAGAACCATCTGGTTGTGTAGAGGAGTTGATCACCCCAGTGCCCTCCAACACCCCCAGACTGTAGTTACACAGCCCCTCAGATCAGCAGGCAAAAATCAACCACAAGATGACCCCTCACACATGAACCCTGACCCCTCATGTTTTGACCCAAGGGTTCCCCAATCCCTCACTCCTGACTCCTCACCTCACACTTGCTCATGGACCCCCACCCTCACCGCCTTACCCACTATCTCCCTGAAACCCCCCCCCCCCACCCTCACCCCCCCCCACCCCCCCAGCCCCACCCCACCCCACCCGCTCCCTCCTTGACCCCCCAGCCCCACCTGGTTGATGTACGGGGGCAGGTTGAGGACAAACAGGGTGCGATCCTGGGGTCGCTGCGGGTCGGGATCGCGGACCCGGTGCTGTTTGACAAAGAGTTGGCGGCAGACGGAGCTCCGGGGGGAGATTCGGAGTGGGATCACTGTTGGGGGGGGGAGTAGAGAAAGGGTCAGTCAGGGCAATTCTACAAGATCCCCATTACCACTACCACCAGCCCCAACCCCGGTACCTGTGAACTTTGCCCCCTCAGACGGAGCTGCCATGTTGTAGATAGAGGATATGCGTCACCGGAAGTGAGCTGCCCCAGCGACACGTGTTTCCGTCGCAGAAAAAAAATCCGCAAGTAAGAGCCCCTCCCCCCGCACCCGCCTCCCCACACTGCCCTTGCCCCATTCCCCTTGGCCCCTTCCCCTTCCCCTTCCCCCCTCTGCCCCACCCATTGTCCCCCATCCACTTCCCAACACAGCCTCCACCATGGCCGCCCACCCAACCCTCCCCACGGCACCCCACCCCCAAGGACCCCAACCACACCCCCCCACACCCCTCACCCAACATGGCTCCCCGTGCCCCCACCTCAACCTCCACTCTCACCTCCACCTTCACCCTCACCAGCCCCCTTCCCCTGACTGTGTCTCTCAAATAAAGTTCACTGATGTTTAAATCTGATGTGGGCTGTATGTAATTACGAGGCCAATCTCTAACCCATTCCCTGGAAACGGCGGGGTCAATGATACCCCCAGCCCAGGGAGCAGTAAAGTGAGACACTTTACCTGGAGGTGGCCTGTTGATCTGATCTATAAATTCTTCCACTTTGTTATCCCATTCCACTTCAGTTCCTCTCTTCTATGATCTCCATGTCCCCTCCCTCAAAATCCCCCTGTGTCTCACCCAAGGGTTCACTTTCCATCCCCCCCGCACCCCCATACCTCAAGGCACCCTGGAGCATCCCCATCTGCTGAAGTCTCCTTGACTCTTTCATTTCCCCCATCTCTCGAAGGACTGGCTGAAATATCTTCTGCCTCCCTCCTCTTCCCCAGGTCTTTTCATAATTGACCCCTCCTCCTCCCACCCACTCCATCCTATGTGCACTGCAGATTCTGGCCCTGGGAGGTCAGCTGCTATCGCTGAATGCAGAGAATCATCCAGTCCAAGTCAGGCCTGAGTGCAGCCAGGGTTCCAGACTCCATTCGCGCAGGGTTAGTCCCTGCCGTGCCCCACCTCACCCAGCCAACCCTTTGCATTCATCTACCAATCCAAGACTTGGCCAGGGCTGCTTAAGACATTGGACAGTTGCTCACCCTGTGTAGTTTCATGGTTAAGTTCCGTTATGCTGATGAATGGTATACATCAATAATCACTTCTGATTTTGACAAGCATCTAGAAATAGGACAGCTCCAGTAAGGTTCCCACAATGCTCTCAGCCACCACAAATTGAATTTTGTGCTCACCAACACAAGGACAGACCTGCCTCTCTGTATAACCTCTCCAGCAACAAGGATGGACAATGGTCAGAAAAGGAAGGCCTTCTCTTTAGTCAGTCCATCTTAGGGTGGGTTCCTCCATCGCCCTGAGTTGTAGAATTCAGTTAAATTCCTCCATGGTCATTCCTACGAGAGGAGAGTGCAGGAGATGTTCCTTTTCCCACACTAGCTGTTGTTGGAGTTTCTTCCCAGGGTATGGAGTGTGTACAACAGCAATTACCACAGCCAATATGCTTTCCTCAATCTGTCTTTTCTTCCAACAGGTGCCACTTCAGTCCACTTTTCATTGACCCCTCTTCACCTCCGTCATCTTTAAACTGTTGTGAAAGGACAGGCACTATGTCAGATCACACTCCCCGCCAGTTTAAGGTCCTACCTTCCAGTAGAAAGTGAACCTCCAACATCTCATCTGTTCCCAAGATGGGTTGAGAACAGAGTTAAAAAGAGACTGAAAGTGGGGAGTAGCTAGAGGGAGCAATGAAAATGTTAGAAGAAATATTAATGGTTAAACAACAGTGGTTTAAAGGGATAGATAGGAAGATTTGGAGGGGAAGAGATATAGTATAATGGGTAATTCATGCTATGCTGATGAATGTTCAGTCAAGAGAACCTGCTGATGTTGAGACACACTGGAACTAGGCCAGTGCCTGTAAGATTCTGTGAATGTTCTCCCACTAATTTGTCAACTGTTATTCACCAGAATGATGGCAGGCTCACCTCTCTCTACCTCAGGAAGATTTGACAACACCCTGTTCACCACTGTCAATGAGGTCAGCTCTCATTCTTCTGAACTCTTGAGTACAGGCCCAACCTGCTTAACCATTCCTCAGAGGACATCTCCCAGTTGCTTTGTTCATCTGCTGTGAAACAAAAGGCACAGGATCAAGAGGGGGTGACATTCTCAAACCTGCTATCATACCCACAGCAGTCAGCACCTGCAGTCATTGCTCAGGTCTCTTTAGGAATCCAAAGGCGTTTCTCACGCACAGAATATCCTCTTGACTTCTTCACTGCTGCTGGTGTTAAACCCATGTCCCAGGTCCCTCATAGTCCTCAGCAACTCAAAAGCCTCCTCGATTGAAATGGGGTAGGTCATAATCAACATCACCTTTTGTACTGTATGATTCTATGATATGACTGTATGATTATTTAGGTTGCAAGTAGAAAATACAGAATTACTTGCCTAAATTATGGCCACAATGTCACTGTGATTCATAGTAAGAACAATCTCTTAGAAATACCAAACTTTTTGTTATTATCTTGTTAAATTATAAGGGATGATGACAGGAATGATGTAATATTCCTGCTCCATCTCCTGTCCCTCCTTTTATTGTTCAATTGCTATCAGGATGAGCATGCAATACATTGAAGTTTCTCTCTTACAAGGGACAGTCTCCACCTTGTTACAATAAATGGGTGAGAGAAACTGACTTAACGTCAATGACCTGATAGCACCAACGCTGTAATGGTGTGGGCAGTGAAAAGAATGATGTTACTCAGTCCTGTAGTGGAGAATTTCACTGTCCTGAGATATTGGCAGCAAATGTTTCTCACAGGCAGTATCTGCTGCACCTTTTATCACTGACCTGATGTAACCTATGGTTGTACAATCAATCACTGCTCGACACGGTGGTGTGGGCTGTGTCTTCACATGTACTATTTACTGGTCACCTGTGATTAACTGGTTAACTACCAACAGTATATAACTGCGGATTGCTAAGGTTAGTGACATGGAAAATTTATGACACAGGAGGCTGCTTGGCCCATTGGGGCTTTGCCAGTCCAATACCACCTTCCACTTCTCGGTCTGTAGCAATGTAATATTCAGCACTTCAAGTCTGATCATTTTCCTTCATGCATTAAGGGTTTCTGCCTTTACCACTCATTCAGGCAGAGTTGCAGGCTCCTCACCAGCTGGTGGATGAAGCAGTTCTTCTTCAATCCTCTGCCATTTACTTTAAGTCTGTGCCTCCCAGTTATTGATTTCTCTGTGGAGGGAAGTATGTCATTCCTATCCACTCCATCTAGCCTCCTCATAATTCTAACTTAAATCTCAGTCGTTTCTAAAGAAAATAAATCCAGTCTGTAGGAGGCTGAGGGGTGACCTTAAATAGAGGTTTCTAAAAATCAAGAGGATCATAGATAAGGTGAATGGCCAAGATCTTTTCTGCATGTTAGGGAAGTCCAAAACTAGAGGGCATAGGTTTAAGGTGAGAAGGGAAAGATTAAAAAGGAACCTGAGGGGCAACTTTTTCATGCAGAAGTAATGCTTGTACGAAATGAACTGCCAGAGGAAGTGGTTGAGGCAAGTACAATTACAACATTTAAAAGACATTTGGACGAATACATGTTAGGAAAGGTTTAGAGGGATATGGGCCAGGCGCAGGCAAATAGGAACAATTTAGTTTAGGAAACCTGGTCGACATGGATGAGTTGGGCCGAAGGATTGGTTTCCATGCTGTATGACTCTATGACTCAATTTTCCTCTAAAGTTACAATTCTTCATTGTTGTAAATGTGTATGTAAATCTCCTACATTCCTTCTCCAGGGTAATCACATCTTTCTATATGCGGTGACCAGATATGTAAACTATATTTCTGTGAGCAATCTAATTAGTGTTTTGTACAGTCCTAACACAATAATCCAGTTCTTATAGTCTCTGCCTTGGTGAATGAAGTCTTCCATAAGCCTTCCTTCAGTGTTCTGTCGTCATGCAGTCCTCTGTCCTTATACACTTCTCATTATCTCACCATTTACTGTGTGTTCTTTTGCCTTTGTTACAAATTAATTGCCTCACACTCCTCTGGATCTGGATTCTTTTCCTTTCCCTATCTGATCGTCCATTAATAACTCCTAAAGGCAGCAATTCCCCTCCTCACTCTCAAACACGGGGCCAACTTTTGTATTGTATGTAGATTTCCTAATAATAGGCCCGACATTTAAGTCTAAATCACTAATAGTAAGCTATGAACAGCTGGAGACCCAATACAAATCGTACTAGAAACAACCATCTGGACACAAAGACACTGGCCGACCATCTCTGAGCCTATATTGGCAGAAATGTGGTACTTTCCCTCTGGACCCATGAACTCTTACTTATCTGAGATAACAAGGTGTAGAGCTGGATGAACACAGCAGGCCAAGCAGCATCAGGGGAGCAGGAAGGCTAACGTTTCGGACCTAGACCCTTCTTCAGAAATGGGGGAGGGAAAGGGGGTTCTGAAATAAATAGGGAGAGACGGGGAGGCGGATAGAAGATGGATAGAAGAGAAGATAGGTGGAGAGGAAACAGACAGGTCAAAGAGGCGGGGATGGAGCCAGTAAAGGTGAGTGTAGGTGGGGAGTTAGGGAGGAGATAGGTCAGTCCAGGGAGGACGAACAGGTCAAGGGGGCGGGATGAGGTCAGTAGGTAGGAGATGGGGGTGGGGCTTGAGGTGGGAGGAGGGGATAGGTGGGAGGAAGGACAGTTTAGGGAGGCAGGGACGAGCTGGGCTGGTTTTGGGATGCGGAAGGGGGAGGGGAGATTTTGAAGCTTGTGAAGTCCACATTGATACCATTGGGCTGCAGGGTTCCCAAGCGGAATATGAGTTGCCGTTCCTGCAACCTTCGGGTGGCTTCGTTGTGGCACTGCAGGAGGTCCAGGATGGACATGTCATCTGAGGAATGAGAAGGGGAGATGAAATGGTTCGTGACTGGGAGGTGCAGTTGTTTAGTGCGAACCGAGCGTAGGTGTTCTGCAAAGCGATCCCCAAGCCTCTGCTTGGTTTCCCTGATGCAGAGGAGGCCACAATGGGAACAGCGGATGCAGTATACCACATTAGCAG